GAGTTTACGTTTACGGCCGTCCACCCAAGTTCATTGTTTTATTTTCACGCGTGTGCTCTCTCTCTCTCTCTCTCTCTCTCTCTCTCTCTCTCTCTCTCTCTCTCTCTCTCTCTCTCTCTCTCTCTATCTCTCTCTCTCTCTCTCTCTCTCTCTCTCTCTCTCTCTCTCTCTCTCTCTCTCTCTCTCTCTCTCTCTCTCTCTCTCTCTCTCTCTCTCCCCCCCCCCCTCTCTCGTGCGTGGGTGAGCAGACCTGCACGCCAAAGTGCACAAGCAAGGCCCAGTGCACGTCAGCACGTGGGTGAGCAGACCTGCCTCCCAAACACAAAACCCGCACACAAACCCCCCACCGCGTGGACGACTACGATCTTACGTATTCAGACCAAACAAACACCAGGGGCCAGGCAGCCACAGGCGAGAGGGCGAAGGGGGAAGGGGTAGGGCAGAATCGTCCCTTGACCACTCCATCCATCTAGCCTGGGGGGTCGCACGAGAAGGGGGGCAGAGCTATAGGTGGACACCTCCCGTCGTCGGAATACTCCTCGGAGCGGTCGGCGTCCTCGTCGACGTCGTCGTCCCCTCGCCCGACTCGGAGGTCGGGCGAAAGCCGAAAGGGTCTTCATCGCGTCGCCAGCAGTGACTCTGAAGAGTCGATCTTAATCTATCTCTCGATCGGTCACACCGCCATCGCCGTCGGGGAGAGGGGGGACGACACTGCCTCGGCAGCGTGCACCTCGATCCTGTACCGTGTTTGTTATGACCCCCCCCAATGAACACACCAGTGAGGGAGGGCGAGACGATCGAGGGGTCCCGTACCATGCGGAATCGGCCCTATCAAGTGCTCAAGTGCTCATCTATCTCTATGAGACGAGACAGGACAACATTAAGTAAGTAAACTGCGAAAGGCGCCATCGTGGTTCGTGCGTGCGCTCCTGTACTGCAGGCCGCCTTTTCTTTGGCGCTAGCGCCCTTGTCGTGCCGTGCCAGTGTAAAAAGAAAGAAAACCGACAATGCGAGGGAGGGATGGGAGGACGGCCACGCCACCACCACACAGGGATTTTAATGTGCTGTGCGAGAGATTTGTTTTTGCTGTGCAAGCGAGCGGAGCACTTGGAGGATCGAGAATTCTTCTGCGCTGCACGCGCCAGTCCGCACCTGTGTCGAGCCTGTGAGAGAGAGTTCATGCCCTTGTAAAATTTGGTAAATTCTTTTTGCTGAGGAAGCCGTCGCCTCGCCTGTCGCGCGAATCGAGAGAGAGAGATTTTTAGCAATACCAAACAAATCTAACACTCACACGTCATTTGGGGCCTGGAGCCCTGTTCACGCGCGCGCGAGACGTGGTTGTTGTTGCGAATCGTGTTCCTGCTTTCAATTCTTTTTGCGGTTCCTGCAAAGCTGGAGCACTGAGCGCGAGCGCGCAGAGGCCCTCGCGGAGGGGCCCTTTTTGTCGAACCTGTGCCCGGGCCCTCCCCGAGGGCACAAGTCAGGCCCAGAAAATTCTTTTGCGGTTGAACTTCCCGCGTTATGGGCGCCTTCCACGAGCACGGCAGCCACGCGGGTCCGACCTGGCCGGCCGCGGCGCTCGACCACAACCTGCCGCTGCGCGCCTCGTGCGGCCTCACCGCCCTGTACGCCGCCGTGAACCGGACGCGCGGGCCCGAGCTGGCCGCCACGGCCGTCGCCCCGCCCGTCAAGCGGCTGCACGAGACTTTCCCGGACGGCACGCTGTGCCTCGCGCCCGACATGCCGCTCCTCGCGCGGAGGTACCGCTTCATGCACGCCATCTCCGAGACGGACCTCTCGCAGGTCATCTGCGCCACTGACACCTACTGCGAGTGCGAGCGGGCGGCCGATGGGCGGCGGCAGCCGCTCGTCGCCATCAAGGTGCTCAACGCGAAGCACTGGATCCTCGGCGCGCAGGAGTACACGCGGATGCGCCTCCTCCGCAAGCGGCAGGACGCGGAGGGCGTCCACGTCCCGATTGCCGGGGCGACGTCCTGCTTTGAGGTCGGGTGCCACTTTTGCATCCTGCAGCCCCTCCTCGCCACCCTGGATCACGAGGCGGCCCGCTGCCGCCTCTGTGGACCCCCGGGCGCGGCGCCGCCGCCGCCGCTCGCCGGCCGCGGCCCCGGCGCGGCGCCTCCGCGTTTCCAGCCGCCTGCCACCCCTGCGCCGTCTCACGCAGCCCCGCCCCTCTGCCGCCGCCGCCGGCGGGTCCGTAGGCTCGCTCGAGTCGGTCGAGCGTGTCGACGAAGCCGCCTCGTTGCCGCCGCGGCTGGGCCTGGACGTGCTCCGCCCTCTTGCGGCGCGGCTGCTCGGCGCCCTCGCATACCTCCGACAGCATGACGTACGTCCCTCCGGCCCGGCGCAGCGCAAGCAGCCCCGTGACAGAGGGGCTCTTCACACGGCGCGGCGTGGACAGGTGATCCACGCGGACCTCAAGCCCGACAACCTCATGGCGGACCGCGGCGGCGGCGGCGGCGGCGGCGGCGAGGTCGACCTCGGCAACCGCGTGCGGCTCATCGACTTTTCAAACGCAATGA